GTGCTTTTTGGGCAATGCCCCCCCCCCCCCCCCTCCCCTTTCTCCTCAGACCTATAAAAAGTCTTGTTTAAAAATGAAAATGAACTCATACCATACGTAGAATTATCATCAACTAAAATAATTTCTTCTACGAGTCTTGGTGGAGTTCTATCTATAATACTATGTACACTTCTCAATAGTGATGTCCAGGCCTCATCGTGGAAACACATAATGATACTGGTTTTAGGTAAATCTTTAGGATATGAGATATCTTTACAACTACAAATACAGAAAATTCAAATATAGACCCTTTTAAGGCATATATTCTGACAGCTTACAAGAGGCTGAAATTGTATTACATATCATATTCAGAAGTAAAATCCGACTCCTGATACACCTACAATTATTAAATAGGTCTACGTATGGTTCTTACATGGAAATAATAGACACGAACGTAGTTTACAGCCAGTAATCTGAATCCAGTAATTGCTACAGTTAATAATTGATAGCATAAAAAGTTTTTGTATACGTACTCTTGTATTCGAGGGTCAGGTAAGTTTCTTCTGACGGACACTAGATTACCAACATATTCTTTAATAGCATATCTTACATAACCTGTATCTACTTTCTTCTGTTCTTTTTTACTCAGTCTTCTTGTATCTATACTCAATCCCTTACCATTTTCACCTTTAAATAAATAATGGGGTTGTCCAAACTAACGCTAAAATACAGTTCTGCTCAAAATCAGCTATTCAATTAGCCGACAGTATCAAAATATTGGGAGTTTATTCCCATATCGTCACTTCTAATATCGTTCTTTTCCATATATCGTCTCTTCCAATATTGCTCCTTCAAAAATAGCCCCTTCCCATGTCGTCCCTCCAAAATCGCCCCTTCCAGTATCGCCTTTTCCAATATAACTACTTCTAATTCTGTAATCTTGAGTTATGTGGACTATAACAACAATAATTTTCAAGAGTTTTCACTTTCTTGTTTGCATCGTTTTGGCGCCAGGACTACACGCGTTTGCAAACAAAGCAAAAATATCTTAGGATATCAATGTTCATCAAAGAAATTGTCCACCACAGCATGTCGTATTGTTCTAACTGGATTTGGCTTTGATTGGTTAAAATAACGTTATAAGAACATGACTGTGGTATAAACTTGTTAGATCATAATGGAGACAAAATATAGTAGACAATTAAATTCAAATAAAAATTTCTTTTGTTTTCTGACCTCAAACCTGTTATTTTGCTAAAGAAGAATTAAAATTATTACCTATTGTGTTTAGATCCACGCCATATACTTCTTTAACCTCGGTATAATTTGGTTGAAGTTTTAAAAAAGGCCAAAAAATTTCTCGTCTCTTCCCCACAAAGTAGCCAACATTTTCACGCAACTGCTTTTTCTTCAGTAGGATTCCGGCCATCGGATCTTGGAATGATGGAACAGATGTGTCAAAAGTCAATTTCATGGCTAGCATAGTCCACACACATATTACAGTTACTCCAAATTTTAACATGAATCTACGTTGCAACATTTTGAATGAAAATTCACCTTCACGGCTTAGTTCATAACCACAAATTTTGTATTCTCAAATTCTCCATACAAAAATTACTCTTTGCGCTATTCTTCTTTTTAGTTAGACGACTGTGGTTCTTGTAATTGAAAAATAGGTACTCTAGGCCATGAATGAAAATCGGAATTGTTAAAATAAATTCCAATTAGATTAAACAAATTTAAAAAGTAAATTTCAATCCTTTCGTTGCATCAACATTGCATAAATTTTATTTGAATTGCATTCGAAAATGACTTCACTGAAATGAATATTTATGAGAACTAAATCTTTGAGAGGGCGGTACCTCTATTTTAATATCTTTCTAATCGATTGAACCTAATATATACAAATTCAACATATGTAGTTTTATTGTTTGCGTCCCAGATGGGCGAAATATCTAAGATTGCCCTTATTTTTAATCTAGTTATGAGATTTCTGCCTGAAGAAGACTGAGAAATACTGTAAGAAAAAGATTATTTTTTCTTATCTAAAAATCCGCTTAATTAAGGACATTTTAAAAATAAGTTTCTTAATGACCTTGAAATTAATGTTAGCAGGTGTGTTTGCAATTATGGAAGCCGACTGCGGTCCTATCTACCCTCGTCAGAATTTCATTAAATGTTGGGGGTTTGATAAAATGAATCAGGAAAGTGGACGTATCTTTCTAGGCAACCACTTGTTTTCATTTAAGATAAATCATACAAAATTGCTCGCCATTTTCCTCGCTTTTTCGTCTCGCGGGCAGCTAAACTGGTACCCTATTTATCTTTGATTGAATGTAGGACCAGTTTAGGCCGCAGTCGGCTTCCATACTGCAGTGGCTACTTTAAAGGAATCGATTGTAATACGTTTTTCAGGCACCTGTCGCCATTACGAATCATTTAGCAATGATAGTATGCAAGACAAATCTGCTCACAGTCTAATGTTCTTAATTCTTAATGGCTATTTAATATTGCTATATTTCAATTTATAAATTACATTTTTATACGCCCACATGAAATGGGGGGCGTATATTGCCGTCACCTCTTTCCGTCGGTCCGTCCGTTCGTCCAGTTACTGCCCTTGTTCAGTCCCGCGCTGAAGATTCAATATTTGCCTTCTGAAGTTTTCATGAGCTAAAAATTGAACACGTTTTCAAGAACAAGGGCAATAACTCATACTCAATATTATTCATTATCGTCCTAAAAAGTTTAAAAGAAGTGTATGACTGAATGTTGAATATTTCATACTGGTGATTGTTACTGTAATGCTGAATATTTTTATTCAAAATCAAAGTTGCCAGGGGGCGTATATTACCTTGCCTGGCAAGCTATCTTCTTCATTTGAAGGCTCAAATAAACATTGGTATGACTTGTTGGATAGTGAAACGCGAAGAAGCTGTTATTTGCTCTACTCTTGGTTTCGGAATCCCACTAGTCGATTGCAATGGAGAGGAAAATTATCAGAAAAATAAAGAAATTGGACCAGACGGAGCCTGTTTAGAACTCGCCAATCGAACGCTTCCATATTATTGTGGGTAATGCATCTATTCTTCGGTGCTGATATTTCTGCTCCTTTCAATCGATACTTTTAGTAATGAAAAACCTCTTTTATTCTGCCAGTGGCAAGATTGACCTCGGCCTTTCATAAAGTTTCGGTAGCATTTTAAAATGTAGACTACAGATTTTACAGAAATTATGCGATTTTCGTAAATTTAGTACTTCTGAAAACTATTTACATATATTCAAGACTCAAATCAACCCCCCTTTAAGTATATATTTGACAGACAGTTCTCATATACAACTTGACCCCTTTTGAGATCAAATATTTGTTTTGATTGATTTGGTTTACAGATCGTCATTTTTTGAGTGGCAAACTGCGATGCAATAGCGCTTAAATTGACTTCTGCCCATGGTGGCATCTGGGAGACTTCGATCTGTCCACGGATTCTATCGACCTCTGCGTACCGAAGACAGAAAAATCGCTAGCTGTCCATTAATTTTTCCATAAATATGACCTTGGCCTGTGTCAACAGCGGAGGATCCCATTAGATGTTTTGAATTACAAGTCTATCTAGCCCTCCTTAAAGTTGTTTTAATTAACTTGAATATACCATGCATGCAACAGAATAGTCTAGCAGCCTTTAACACTTTTCAAAACTGACCGTTTTATACGCCTACCTGAAAATGTGGATGTGTATGTGGATGTGTATTGCCGTCGCCTATTTCTATCTGTCGGTCCGTCAACATTTCAGGGTTAATCTGAATTAAATTGTATTTGGTTTGATTATGTATTATCTTGAACGACTTCGATTATTGTACGCCTTTTGCTTTATTTCCCTTGACAATTAAACAAGTGATAATTGTTGTGACAGAGACTGCAGGTTTTGTCCGAATAATAATAATAAAGCTAAACTTGTTGGTGAAGGTTTCTTGTTACCCTGATAAAAGGTTTGATCTTATTTATCCCACATTCTGGCCAAACTACATTTATCCTAAATCCTCCATCAAAAACTATTTAGTTAAGTTAGGTATAAGGTATTTCAATGCTCATTTACTTGAAAGGCAAACAGAAGACCTTGGCCCCAGGATTGAGACAGTTAAATCTGTTTTCCATTTGAGAAAGATCAATACATTTCTTGAAATTGGACGAATGTAAGATGATAAGTCTACATGTATTTTTTGTGTAACATTAAATTTTTATATAGCTGCATCTGCATATAATTAAAGCTAGTTTTGCAACCTATAACTATAGATATTATAATACAGTTTTTGTATCAACAGATTGACACTGAAGTTGATGACTCAAATTATTTTCACTTTGTTTTTCTTTCTTATGTCTTGTTCATGTTTTAGACCGATTGCATTTGCTAATACTAAAATCATACTGTCTTGAGTTAACATCTTTAAGCTGGTCTTGAGACTGGACATGTATGGCCTAATTTTCTACCCTTATGTAATAAAGATATTATTATTATTATCTAGAGATTAGCGCATAAATAGGTTACTTTATTAGTGTCGGCTCAAACAGAGAGTAGGCCAAACCCCCACTTTCATTTTCAAATTTTACCGGGTCTACGTTAATTATACCCTTGCCTCCAGATTGAATTTGAAATAATTCTGCAGTGACCCCATTCAATCCAAAATTCTGTAGTCGCCATTGTTTTATGATTTATTCTGTTGGACAAATTTAAAGGTACACATTCAAGGTCTAGTAACACATTTGTCTATGAACAACCAATACAACCATACGAACACGGTAACTGAATTTCAATATTTTTCACAACATTTACCACTTGATCAGAAAACTAAAAAACGCACCTTTACACTAAAACAATCTCTTCCGTCTTATATCCTCCAGGAACCACTTCCGGCTCGGTGACGTCCATCATTTTCTCCCTGACGCTCGAAGTCTCGTAACCCTCAGGAACCCCTTCCGGTTCGGTGGTGTCCATCATTTTCTCATTGATGCTAGAACGTGGAGAGACGCTGTATTCATAAACTGTTCGTCTACGTAATTTGCTAACAATTGTTCGACCGTACAACAAAATCATTAAAATCAATACGATGGAAAACAGGGCTTCTGCTAAAAGCAGATAGCAGAAGTAAAGGGCAGAGAACTCTTGTATAAGGAAACCCAGGACAACAGGATTACACAATAAACCTATAGCTCCAGCAACTAAAATAAAAGACGAAACTTTTCCGTTGACTGGCACCAGCTCCTGGTCAGTCAGTGATATTCCAGTGGGAAATAAAATTGAAATGGCACCGCCTGCTACACAAACGAACACCCATATGCCGGTATGAACAAAGTATTGCGCGCAAACCAACAGCCCTACAAGTGACGTCACCAAGAAGCTCATGGCAATCAGAATTAATTTGGCGGGACTTAGTAGATCTGCCACAAAAATCACTAAAACACGCATGGTAATCAAGGCTCCCCAAAACGTGGAGGAAACTAACGCGCCTTGGCTTTTAGTCCAATCCAATTGCTCCACTACGAAGGTCATGAGAAAGGCGGAAAACGCGTCTTCGATGCCAGTGTTACAAATATACATGAACATTACTAACAGAATAGAAAAAACATAATGAACTGGTGGTACTGGCCACACTTCGTCAGGCACTAAATTGTGTTCTTCTTTTGATTTGATTTTTTTGCAACTTTTCACCAAGAACGGAATGGACGTAACGACTGCCAGAACTGATGAAATCACGAACGCATACTGAAGCTTAATGTCCCATACTTCGGTGTTAGCATCTGTTTGATTGAATCCGACACATAAACTCGGATCGAATGTGGATTTGTTATACGTTAGTTCGTACTTGCTGTTATTATGCGTTTCAAATTGAAGTTGACAGAGATAGTAAGGGTGTTTCGTCGGACGTACGATAGGCACGAGTGAATCTTTGGGAACAAGGAATGGCTCAGTAATCAATGGTGATATGAGGGCTCCAATGGAAAAACCAAGATGAACAATAAACATATACGGCCGACTTTCTGATTTCCATACTCTAACGACATCGGCCGTTCCACCTGCAAAGAATAAAATAAATATAAATTTTAAGTAATGGAAAGTTAAAGGGGTTGTTTGTTATGTTTGTCGGAGATCTGATATCATCAATTTGCGCCACTCCAAGTTGCAGTCGGTTCCATCAATTCTGCTTAAACTAAGCATTCCTAAAGCCCTTATATATTTTTAGCAATATTTATGATGATGATGTCATAACAGAGACTAATATACGGTTGCTCAAATACTCAAAAGAAAAGGGATACGCTTGACTGAACAGATTACAATTCATGTATTTTCGACCAATATAATGCGCTATTCAAGTGGAAGTAATGCACCGATTTACTTGACTACATTTTTATGTAATTTTCTAGAAACAAAATGTTAAGACGAAACTGATTTTGGCATGAAACCAATTCTTCACAATGTTCATGAAAATTGATTATAGTGTTTGTCACTAGGAGACACGACTTAAAACATGGTTTTTGTTTTCACTCCCTATTTCATGTATCTATCGGTCAAACATGTCCTTTAAGTATTTGGGAATCTTTCAAAATTTATAGTCTATGCACCGTTGTTTCTACTAGTAGGCCGGGATGGGTTGGGGTGGGGTGGCGTGGCAGAAATGAGGTGGGTGCCGGACCAACAACACTTTCAATGATAAAGAGGTTTTCAAAATTGTTTATGTGTATTGGGGATACTGATAGATTCAATTTGGACCATTCCGATTGTCAATCAGGCGGCTGTAATTCAGCTAAAACCAAGTTTTTGATGAAAGTCAATAATCGCAAGAACCACTGGCGTCTGACTGAAAATCGGAATAGTGCTAATTGATACGCAAAGAATTTAGAAAACCTTAAAAAATCCGTTTAAGGAAATAATGCCCTACTTAGCTCCTACCTAATAATTCATATAAGCGCCGTTTAATCTACAAAAATCCCGGCCTTCAATATTTATTGTCTACCTGTACACATAATTCTGTGGCCATTACTCAGCCCCCCTCACTAATTATTCTTATATACTTAAACTGATTCAGTGGTGTTTCTAAGTTAAGGGTTTGGCCTTGATAGCCTATCTTTGTCGCCGACTTGTTTTATCGTCTGCAAGACAATATCTGTTCGTTATGATTTAAACGAAAAAACTAATATACCTGCTTCAAGTCCTCTCATACAAAAACCAGTAAAAAACCAAGACGTCAACATGAGGTAGTATTGTTTACACTGTGGAATAACACCGACACACAGACCCATACCAATGTTAGTCAAAAATATCAGACGTATTTTATTAAATTTATCATACAAGGCGCCGACAACTAACGCTCCAAGAAGACCACCTATAGCTGCCGCAGTAAAGAAGAACGATGCTTGTTCGGTGTCTGTCTCTGTTATTAACTGAAGATCTAGAAAGGAAGGTCCTCTTTGTCCAGCGATGAAACCCTGAAAAACAAAACAAATTCTCAATTACATGTAAACAAAGTTTATCTTCTCATATTTCTGTTTCATGGATATTACGAATTCTGTCTGATACCTTGACATCATGATTTTTTTTCTTAAAACACGAAAATTTGTAAATGCAAATTGCCTTCCTACATTAAAACAAAGCGGGCAGAGAATAATCTGACGCGATTCTGGGAACCATACCCCCCTTCCCTCTTTTTTAGTGCCATGCCCTCCCAAATACGCATCTGCCCTGCATAGAAAATGGTTTTGAAATTTTGAGTCATCGTGACTCATTTAGCTATGCTGACTTTTAAATGCTATTGTGAATGTGCACTGAAAGCTGAGTGCATAATTGTACGTAATGGCTATATGACACCTGCAAAATACGTATGAATATTGTAACCAGTTATTATTAAACAGTTTCAACTATAGAAGGTAAATTTTTAGTTGGATATATAGGAATTATGCGAATTTCGTGCATTTCTAGTACTATTTATATATATTCGAAACCGAGATCTACACCTGAAATTGGTGAACTATTATATTATAATACACATGATATAAATAAAATATAGAATATGTACTTTAAATGACGTAATAGTTAAAAATAAATGCGTCTTACCATTGAAATGAATGATAGAAACAGCCATATTGTATGCAGCAGACGATCTCTGTAAGCTGCTTCACGCCATTTGGTCAGAAATTGTGATGTTTTCGATGGCACATTTCCAAGTTCGTTATTCACAGGTTTCATAGCTGTTTACAGAATGCAACTATAAATAATATCAGGCCTACACTAAGTAGAATATATAATACTTTCCAATCGGTTTCTTACGCACTAGTTACTATTATATATACCGTTAAGCCTGCATTGTGTCGTGGGCTAGTTCCCACACCATGCCGTGCTGGAGTCCTATATTCTTTTTATAATGCTCCAGATATTTTGTTTATTATACATAACACGAGTTACGAATGAAAACAGTCAAATGTTATTGACAGAGTGAGGATCTGTCGTTAGACTTATCAACCACGATGGTTTGTTTTAATACATGGACGGTCCAATAACATGCAGACCTTCAGTGTAGAAATAAAATCAATGTAAATACAGTCTGGATTAACAAAAAAAAGACTGATCTAATTATGAATTCATTTTGGACAAAATGGTATTTTTCCAAGTCTACCTCTACTTTCTATTCATATAAGTATTAGCATTCTCATTTTCATAAATGAAAATAAGGGAACCCATCTTTAAGTACAATAGTTTACCAAGATTTCACATATATAGAAAACTTGCTGTAAGCCCCTTTCCATTGACAATTTATTTTCTAGACAGCTCTTCCAACAATTGTGGCCAGTTGTCTTTCAAAATTAACTTCAAAACTACCGATAGGATTTCATTTGATCTTTTGTGGGCTATACTTCAAATGAATTGTTATCATCATTATATAATTAAATATAACTGGGTTCAATAGTCATTTTGGACATAATTACTTTCTAAGCTTTGAGATTACGGCACAGTAGTCGACTTATGTCAGATAAGTATCTAATAAATATTGACATTTCAACAGAGCAAGATAAATACTTCAATAAAGTTCATTGACACATTATTTCCAGACGTGCAGATATAGAATTCTATTGTTCAGAGACGGATTGTGGGGTTTGTTTTTTTTGGTCTCTTGGATATCTTTGAAAATATTATAAAATTATATTCAATGACAGTGCCGACTTCAAAAGGCTGAATATTACAAATTGTCAGTGGAAATATGCATTTTGTAATAGTAAAAATGAATTCATTTCATATCGAATGTAATTCTTGTAAAACATAATATTTTGTCCAAAATATGAAATGATTATGTAAACCAATTTTATTGTATTGTTAACCAACGTCAATGCTCTACTTTCAAACAATAACAAGACATAAAGTTATTGTGTGAACGTAATATTCAAAATAAAATATATAATATTACATATAATGTACATGTAAATCTGATATATCATATATATTATTAATTCATCAATTATAACAATCATCGCCATCATTGCATTTAATTATCGTCATCTTGATCATCATCGTCCATATCACAATCATCTAAGTTATCAATGAACTTTAAATGATGATGAATATCATTAGCTACATCCCTCATTCGTTTGATAACATCCTCTTCATTACAATTGTTTATCCAGTTTAAGCACTGCTTGATAACACTGTTTTTCTGTAATTTATAATGGTGTAATATCACCTGTTTAAAACCTAGAAAAAATCAAATGAAATTTACGTCCTACAACTGATAGGGTTGCGCATCTGATGCATGTTGCGATAAGATAGATACTTACTCTTTTTGTTTATTTCCAACTTATTACTGTCAATGGATCTTTAAAGGGGATAAACTCATCATCCATTTGATCAATCGTACCTTAGCTATAAAATTCCTGTTTCTGAGACTAAGCTAATCAGTTATATTGATGTTCTTTCCCAGAAAGTGTGAGGACAAACTTCCAAATCAAATTTCCTGTAGGCATACATTTAATCAAGTAACAGAAATAAAACTGCGCATTATACATACAAATATACGGTATTTCTAACCTGGAGGTGGATTTTTCATATTTGCTAAAATAGCATTGCGTAATGTTTGTAATTGTATTTTCCAATTGTATTTCAAACTTTCGCTCTGAAATATATTCCAATTCAAATATTTGCATAAATATACAGAGAAACATTAACAATTGTGTATAAATTAACGAAGAAAATCCATAATACGTGCATATATACCAACTAAAATAGCAAAAGTTAAAGAAAATATTAAATTTATTTGGTTTTTGACAGAACGTCAATAACATATTGCATATCATGTGCTAACAGATTGTGAAACAATAATGGCAAACCAACAACAATTTCAAATAGATTATTTTGATTTCATGGAATTTGTATGGAAAAACAATTACTTGTAAATAAATACACCTTATATATTGCCAAGGACATGCAACTCTAACGGAAGTAACTCTTGTTAAGAAGGGACTAATCCAGACTACAATATGACAATAGTTTCAAACTTCCTCAATCAACTTGTACTCTTTGAAGACAATGTTAATTCTTACTCCCTGAAGTTATTCACCCAAAACCGAGACTGGCCTTGCTTCACCCCTTCCCTCCTCCTCCTACCCACTCTCCCTTCCCCCTTTCCCACTCCCCAACTCTCAAATGTGTTCTAATTTACATAAGAAATGAAATGCCTGTAAGCTCTGTTGACAAATCTGTTTTCCCCTACCCACCACAAATGAAAGAAATATGACAAATCATAGACTTCAGAGTGAGCTTCAAGCCAATTGAAGACAAATATAAGACAGAGTTTAAAATCATGCTTACTTTGCCATCTTCAGTTTCTCTCATACCATCATACCCTGGTTCATTAAACATAGGATCTGATGTTAGAATCATACTCTGTATGGACACCAAAACCTACAGTCAAAAAGGATTAAGGCCTTTATACATAAAAACTGAATAGCCTATATAATATACTGGCTACAGTACCGGTATAACATAACAGTGTACTGCGACAACAGAGAAATATCACTTGTCCTGTTGTGTTGTAAAAACAACAAGCACACAGGTTTGAAATGTTATTGACTAGAGCTAATGCTGCTAAAACATGTCTCAGAAAAACAACACTCATCAGGATTACTCAACTTGAAATGAGCTTTAACTTTCCAAAAGTGGACTTTAGGCATAGGAATAAATTAGGAGCAGGAGTGAGGTTACGATAAAGATATAATTATCTTAGTTGATAATAACCCAAAATGATTACCTGATGTAGCGTAGATTTACCAGCATTCCATTTCTCACTAGCATCCCCAGCATGCCATGTCCCCAATAAACTTAAACAGACTTTACCATCCGAATATAGATTGGGATTAAATCTGAAAAATAATAGGATAAAGTCAGATGTGGTATGAGGTGCTAGATTGATAAGTTCTGAGGGGTACAATCTATTTTATCATGATTTACCTTCTTGTTACACTTCTACACCTACTTTTATAATCTGATATGAAAACTGAACAAGGTTCCAACTGGTTTTTCATTGTCATTTCTTGGTGAAATAAGTTTTACCATCACCTTTTTGGCTTCCAGTTCCAGATAGGCAACATCATGCAGTACACAATAAGGAAAGTTTGCAATCTTACTACTGGATAATTTAAAAAGTGCACTCTCTGTGGCACACAGGGGTTTGGTTTATTGTCCCATCTGATTGACTTGTTTTCCATGTCGGAACCTGATAAATTGTGGGATAACAAAACCCGAGGTAGTGCAAATTTTGTTGTTTATAAGACACAGGTTCTATATGACATACTTTGATTAGTTTAAAATAATGTCATTACAACAGAACTGATACACAGAATCAGTGAAAATCTTGTTAGATTACAATTGAGACAACTAATATATAAAAAGAGAAACATAATTAGATTGGACCCTCACCTGACCGTTCCATTACCAGTAGTTATGAGTTTTACCAAGGGAGGATTATAGGGATATGAGGATGGGAAATATATATCAAATATAAAACAGCCCAGACTATATGGTGTATCTACTGGACCTGTAATCATTGCTCTCATTATATCCATTCTATCTTCATCCTTAAATACAAACAGATTGTAGATCAATCATTGAGAAGGGTTCAACTTCTTCTAGATGTACTGGCCTGGCAGATAGTGGACTAACTCTTTAGAGGGTAAAAACATGTGCAGTATACTCACAAATATACAGTAAGTATCCTCAGTCATGCTGCTCATAAGAAATTTCAAATGAAATGTGGTTGCAACTATTTCACACAGACTTGGTCATTTAAATATTAGCTGTACAAACTGATCATTGAAATGAAATTAATAAGTTAATAAGGCCCCTGGTATTTTTTCTGTTGTCTGCATATAATTAACACATAAAATTATTTTATTTTTCACTTTTTCATATAATGATTTTTTATTAACGGCCATTCAATAAGAATGAAAAATGACTAACCTGTCGAACATAAATAGCAGCATTAGGATGTATCGGTAAACTTTCTCGTAATTGTTTAATTTCTTTCATTAAATATTTCACTTTAGGTGACCTAAAACAACATAAAATAACATATTATATGATGAAAAAAAGTTTCACATCTGTCTGTTCTGCATTTGATTGTGCCAATGATGTTAGATATAGTGGGACAATTAGTAAAGCATGAGTCTACTTTCCGAACTGGTGGCTCCATGGGAGTAAAATAGAAAATTTACAATACCTTGGATCTAAAGACTGAACATGACTTTGATAACTGTGAGATTCCTACATAAAAATCAATAAAATCAAACATAGAGATAGTGGTCGTGACATCACTATTTTAAAACCTAGTCATGATATCTATAATTACTTTGTCATAGTATTGTATTGGAATTGCAAAAAACACATAACCGAAAAAATTGGAATGGTGCAAATCAATGTAATTAATGTACACAATACACATGATAAAGATAGGGAAACCTCTTTAAAAGCACTTTAAAACACAAAAATATAAATTAAATTTTCAAAACTTACAAATACGTTGGCAGTTCCAAATCGTAATGGTGACATTTTTTCAGAGTATGATTTCAGGATTTCTTCAGAATTGATTTCTACTTCTACACCTTCTTTCATCCAATCTAATTCTCTTGTTTTCTTGTTAGAATGAAAATCTCTTTTGGATTTCAGTTCTTTCATCTATAAAATAATTAATAATGTACTTGGATTCGCTTTTGACCCTCTTCTTGCTGAATTCTACTTTTATTTTACATTCAAAGGAAATACACTCTTACAACTTTTCTATGTGTTCTGTTAAAGTTACAGAGTTCTGCCATGACTCAATGATTTTAGACCATATTTGTTGATGCAGGTTGACCACCTGATGCAGTGTCAAATCAATAAACTGTGTGAAACCAATACAAATTTGTTTCTGATAATTTCAGGCTCAGTTGCAATCTTACATCTTATCTACAACAGCTGTGTTCTAATGACGTTATTTCTAACCAATCAAAATATGTAAAAATTGTAATGAAAATTTGTGGGATAGCCCAATCAAACGTAGTGCAATATCACAGCCTCTTTGGGGTTTTCTTCTCAGGAATTTATATGGACGTACCTGAACAATTAATTCAGCAAACTGATTGATAAATTCATCATGTGTTAATCCTTTACTGTATATAATATCAAATGCCTTGTCAAAAGTTTCAACTTCAAAATCACTGTCCTCCACCAGTGCTTTTACAAACTCCTCACCGTCATTCTTACAAATATGTAGAATTATTTTTACTATATTGGTCAGCAATATCTTTGGGTTGAAATTATACCTGTAAAATACATTTATAAAATCAATAATCAAGATTCCTATGCTCTAGCTGATTGTGCTACAGCTGGTCCTCATAGAAACATTGAGTTGTTCTATTTTGGTTCAGTTTAAACTTTTAGTTGGGGTAGCCAACTAATCTCTTTTTCATTTGCACTTCTTTTGAATGTATCAATGCCTGCTTAATTGAAGCCTTGTGGCTTCCTCAAGCTCACAAAGATTTGTCACATCTTTCTAAATCAAATACATACTTGGCCATATTCTTGACTTTATAATCTTTAGCTTTATGTCCACACAGTGATAGCAAAAATCCACAAATCTGAAATAAAAAACATGTAAAAAAGAAGGAATGGTAAGAAATATTCTGATGTCTGTGCCAGTGATTGCACACTCAGGTCTCATTACATCTCATATAGAAATAGTTCTTCAGTCATATACTGTATAATTATGAATATTATGTGCACCTCTTGTTACCCCCCAGTGTATTATGAAGAATCTGTGTCAACTTAAATAATATGCCCCCCATCCTGATGAAAAAATCAACAAGTTGGCATTACACACACACCATAATATTGAGTGGTAATATCACCAAAGTCCAATACACTAAAATGACAAGGTCCTGTTTTACCATTCAGCCCATGGGGACAACCAACTTGAAGGTACAATGTATAAAATGAAGAGAAAAGAAATAGACTTACAGCAGATGCTGATCTGTTGGATAAAGGTTTGATATTAAAACAGCTTGATACCACATCTTCTTCAGTTAACAACAAAATAAAATCTAATGTCTGATTTGCCTTGAATGAAAGTGGATATTGATTACATGTCATACATTTAATATTATTAGTATAATACATTGTTAATACCTTAACTCATGCTTTAGAGAAAGAAAATATAAGATTGATATCTGAAACATTGTCAGCTCTTGTTAAAGAGTAAAGAACTATTAAAGTGACTTAAAATAGGGTGCCTTCTTTCCCTTTAGTTGATTCTATATTCCAGAAAAACATATTACAGATTATGAAGTCACCTTTCAACAGGAAACTCTCATTATCTGTTCACAAAACTGAAAACTGGTGATGTGGCATCACTTTCATAAGAGATCAGTTGAATGCTATATTTAACAGCGGGAGCCGTGGTGGCTCAGATGCTTCCTCGCTAACCTAAAGGTCCAGGGTTCAATCCCGGAATAGGTCGAGATAATACCTTTGGATTTTTCAACCCGTTTTCACCCTGTCAGTGATACAGGTAAGATCGGCTAACATGGAAAAAGCGTCTAGTTGTTCGGATGGGACAATAAACCGAGGCCCTGTGATCTACAGACTGCATGTTAAAGTTCCCATGACAGTTGGAAATCGAAAAAGAGCAACTCCATTCATTTCATTTTTTTTTAATTTTACAGTAGCGTAAACATAATAAAGATCCAAAGATACTTACTAAAGCCATAAATCCACTACCTGCCTTTTCTTCATTTAATAAAAACATTGTTTTATCTTCTTGTTCTTTAGATGATAACTCGTTCCATTCAGCTTCTACAAAATAATATACAAATAACAGAGATTTCTACAGATTTACTCAAAGGCAGAAAGGGATGTGCATTATACTCGCAATTATACAGTAAACGTGACTTTACTTTGACTTCAAAATGGTGCTAGACAAGCCATCTTACATGGATCTTATAAAAAAACTCATAATGTTTTTTTTAATCTTTTCTAAAGAGCTTAATTGCTTGGTTTTTTACACTTTTTTGATACTGTTATTTTATAACATATTGAATTCTTCAACAGTTTCTTGATGTTACAGAATTTGCTTATTCAACAATTCAAGTAACTTACCATTATCTTTAGCCATTTCAAGACGTTTAACATTAGCCATTCGGGACAGTGAGTCATGTAACATATACAGCAGAGTATCTAATATGGCACCAAGAAAGTTCTACAGATAAAAAATAACTGAATTATTCTAGAAGTCATAAAATATGTGCCTTAATTAAGACTTATGCATGTGTAGTGGGTGAAACTAAAATGTCAATCAAAATTCATATCAATCATGTAATGCCTGATTTCATTACTACACATGTGTCACTCAAAATACAACAAGGTTATACCGACATGGCCACTCCCATAACTGCAGTTTTACAAAAATAAAACAAAAAAAACGAGTAACAATAATCATAATTATGTTATCAGCAACTTTATAACACATAATCTAGTCTACCATGGCAAAGATAGTAGATGATATTTATGAACATTCAGTCCTGATTGAAAACATAAACACAAGCAGTTTAGTTACTTTGAGATAGAATAAATAGTAGTTTATATAGTTCTAATTACTACTTATCCTACCTCAAAATAAATGAGACTGTTTGTGATAATGATATTAAATTAGACCCAGTTGTGTGTAAATATCATTTCCTGGCTATAGACAATTTACCTGGAATTCTGCTGTTTTGTGTAATTCTAAAATATGTTCTTTACAATCAGCTCTTTTCCATAAATGTTGAATCAACTGACTAATTCTTGCCCTAGATAAATTGATGTTGAAAATATATTGTATATTGGGGCTGACTAAGCAGCTCTAGGTCCTCAAACCAATGGATTTCCTATAGCCCACCCAAATACCAAACTTATCATAATGAGACAACTTTTTTTCTTGCCCTCACCCAACCAATTTAAAAATTTGAAGGAGTGTATTCCCTAGAACTCCTGTCTTAGAATGGCTACTGTATTATTTTGGCAACAAACAGTTCCTCACCTAGAAGTATACTTATCAAATTCATCTTTATCTACATCTAAACCCTCCACAACATCTACACTGATATAGGTATGTATCAAGGCTGGACCAAGTTTATATTGAACTGTAGGACTGGTATGTACCATCAAAGCTAAATCTGACATGGTGCTACTACCCCAGCCATCAGATCCTCTGAAACACAAAGAAATGGGATAACAACCAAGGTTCACAAGGATCAGGACTATCAGCTGTTCCATCGTCAGACCTCTTGGCATAAATCTTTCCTGGATTATCTGCTTCCATTAAATATATTAATTGTATTGGCAATATTTTCCTCATTGACCCTAATTGCATACTGCATGGCTTTGATGTATTTCATCAAATTGTCATACCTATTCTGATTTGGTGTAGTTTGAACAAACTGTAACAAACTAGATACTATTTTACTGGCCACGATTGGTCCAGGCATTAAATCAGGTCTTTCTAACAGCATCACACAGCAATCAACAAACGGTGACA